TATAATTGCAATCAAGATCATTGACTACTATTTCTGCAAGTGATCTTAGACATTTAAAGTCAAAGAACTGAGTCAATATGTGCGCTTCGTGATGTAACACCGGTTAAGAAATTCAATGTCAAGTTGGAAGTCATTCTTCACGTAACAAAGAAGTCTTTCACATTTACAATACAAAATAGACAAAAGTTGTCAAACTGACTAGCCGAAAACTATAAGTTCATTTTTACAACTAATTATATAATAAAGAGTAAAAAATTCGTATTCTGTTTCGCACACTGAGTTAAGAAAATTATTATGCAATGTACTGTGCTATAGTTCATACATGATGTAAAAATAATTAGTAGTAATTGAGTAGTCCTTGTCGTGTATTAAATAATATGTCACATATTCTGATTTTTGGGATATACAATAAATTTTTAACCTTGCCGTACGTTAACTTGTCATTCATGAATACACAAAGCTACAATGAAGATTTTAAAATTTTCAAATTTCAAGATCTTATATCACAACCAAGTTAATCAATTGAAGTAGGGGAGACTGGGTACGGTTGTGCCAGGGTAGGGTAGTGACAGTCGCCGTAACAGCTAAACTATACCGATTTTGAGTTAGGGTCCAAGAGGAGGAAGACTACTTTATTTGTCATTTTGCTATAAGTTGAACATTAGTAGTTAATTTTTACGATGATAACTGAGCTCGATCATAATGATGATTTAGCTCCAAAGGTGTGCGTTGGGTACGGTTGTGGCAAATTTTGTAAGTACAGTTGTGACATGTATTTCTTGTTTTTTTTTCGGGTTTAGAGTAACAGATAAATACGATTTTATCTTAACTAATTCGAAATGCGAAAGAAAAAGGTCAATGAAAATTCGATATAAGAAAAAAGGTTTTACAAGATATCTTATTACCTTTGTTTAAAAAAATTATATTTTGTTATATATTGTTATATTAAATTCATAATCTTTCTTTAAATAATTATGCTGTGTTGTAATATATATTTCTGCTAAGAAAGTCGTTTCTGACAACAAAAGTTATTTTGATATTTTAATCTACTGTTTCTTAACCTATTTTTATGCATGTCACAACCGTCCATGGGGGCTTAGAGGGTTGTGACTCTCGCCCTTTTCTTGTATGATTTGATTTTATGAACAATCCGTCGTATTTAAGGACATTATTTTAGTATTTCCACGTAGATAAATATTCAAATTACCATTTAATTTACTTTTCTCCAGCTAACTGGTGAATTAACAAAACTATTGCTGATATAGGGTGGTACAACCGTACCCAGTCTCCCATATGAAGTAAAATCATTCACATAAAGTACTAATAATAAAGGCACATAAAGTACTAAAAATAATAAAGAAAAGAACACGATTTTCATGATATACTCGTATAGCACACTTTTTATGTATTTAATTTATATATTCTAAAATATTAAGGTTTTGGAGACAAATTACCAATATAAGAATATTTGGATGCACTTGTTAGATCTTTTGAGAAAAGAATTCAAAAAAAGAAAAATAACGATATTGGAATTCGTAATATAAAACACAAAAAATTGTTTACAAAAACTAAATATTTCTGCGCATATATATTTTGTTATAATAATTATTGTTATTGGTAAATTGTTTAAAATTATACTGGTTTTATTGGCATAAAATTATATAATGTAACGGTTTATATGCATTGAAATAATGTCAAGTATGTAAAACTAGACAAATATCGAAGATTAATTAAATAAAAATTTCATAAAAATTTACATACAAAACATTTATGCAAATTATTGACGTTTTTGCAGTAAGGAGATCCGTGATAGAAACACAAGACTGGAATTATCTGATGACAAGAAGCTATTCGAATAACCAATGTTTGAAGTCAAAAATAAAACTGTAACTGTAACTGTAAAAAATATGAAATAAATGCCTTAAGTGAAATTAAAATGATTTAGTAAAATTGTTTGAAATATGATATAATGTAATTATTATTATATTATATTAAAATTATTATTATATAAGCCGGAGGCTTAAGAGAAATTGGCCTGCTGACCTGACCAAGTAATCTTTGTCTGCTATTCCTCTCTTATTTTCTTTATTTGCTTATAATTTATATTATTTGTATTAACTTATAAACTTTGTTTTGCATCTTTTGCTCTGCTTTTCATTGTTTGTATTTTAAATATTTTATTTTATTTTTATTTGTTGTATTGACGTCACACATTAGCTCATAGAATTTATATATCATGATTGCTAATTATTAATAAAGAAAAAAAAAGAAAATCTGTGAGGTCAATAATTGATCAGCAACTTCTGCCTAATCCTAATCGAGAGTAATAAATGTCATGTCATGTAAATACCTGTAGATTATTATAAATAGTTAATCTAGCAATAAAGATGAGGGTGATAAAATGTAGATATGTGTATGAATATATATCATAAAATAAACAGTAGTTTTATTCATGTATTATGCTGACGGAATAACCAATTACAACCCACTAATTAACCCACAACATTATTACCGATGTCCATTTACAAATTAAATATATCTATTATTATTTAGCATTTGATTTCATTATTTATTGCTGAAACTAGTATCACATGTTATTAATTTTATGCTAACTTTCCGTAGGTTAAGTTATTGTAATGATCCAAAAAATCGAAATGGAAAATTTTTGCATATCTTCACGTTTCGAAAGATCATTTTGGCGTACCTTAGAAAAAATGGATATGTGTGTATGTATGTATGTATGGATACAAATTTTCGTCCATGTTTTCGGGCGCACAGTTAAAAAATAGTAATCAAGTTTTTGAGTGAACGCAGCATCTGATTTAAATTATCTAAAAAACATTCAAATCGCAATGATGAGAAGAAGTGGTGATTAGTTTTAAGCAGGCAGATCCAGCCGTTTCAGAGATACGTAGTTAAATGTTCAAAACATTGGAGTTTTTGAGAGACTGTGTGCAATTATAAGTAGTTCTAAAATAAAAGTTTGAGGAAAATATAAAAGTGCCAATTTTGTCGCACAGTGTAATCAGTAAATTTCAAGTTATATAAATTAAAAAAAATACTAGTTGGTATTGGTAATTTGCCTTGAGGCAAGTTACATGAACTTTCTTATATGTGTAAATAATCGACTTAATCAATGAAATATAAATTAATTTATGAGTGATTAAAAGTATTCCGAGTTATTATACATAATTGAAAAGGAACGAACACGTTAACTCGGAGTATTTTCTAAAAGCAAATTTTTAAAAAATGAACAATTTTTATAATTGAACCAGTTTCCGTAGGATTTTAATGGTTTAGTATGTTCATTAAGACCCAGTACTCTATCGTTATACCAAGTAAATCGTCTAATTTTAATTTTAACAAACGTCAAAAAACAACTCGTTTTCTCAAATTTTGATGATTTTTTTAAATTAAACTACTTGCCGCAAAGCCGTAATATTTCAGTAAGTTCTATAAGACCATGATTAATATCTCAAAAAAATGTTCCATACAAATCGGCTTAAATTTTTTTTTTTCAGCAGTTAATTACAAGAAAACGACTCGGTAGATTTTCACCAGAAAATAATCAGTATCATTCCCAACTAATATCTTTCGAACAGTTTTTGATTTTTCAAAATCGATTCGGTAGTATGAGCTTAAATAAAGACGAAAAGTTTAACACTTTTTTCCAAATTACAAAGAAACGGCTCGGCCGATCGTCGCACAAAACTGAGAAACGATAATCCTCATTGAGATACAAATGCTTTTTAAATATCTGAAATCGGTTCAGGCGTTTTCGAGCAAACGTCGATGAAAGTTCTAATTTTGACAAATGCCAAAAAGACCATACTAATTTTGGCAAACTTTGACGAATTTTTAAAGCTAAACCAGTTGTCGTAGGACCGTAATATTTTAGTATGATCTAGAAGACTATGGTATCTATCCTCAAAAAAATAATCATAAAAATCGCCATTTTTTTTTTAAACTTTATTACAAAAAACGGCTCGGCCGATCTCTACCAAAAACGATTCCCAATCAATATCTTTCGAACGGTTTTTGAATTTATAAAATCGATTTAGAATTGCGGGCTAAAACGTAGACGAAATTTTTTTCACAAAGAAACGGTTTGGCCGATCGTCGCACAAAATTGACAAACAATAGTCCTCATCGAGATACATCGAGTGGCTTTTAAATTTTTGACATCAGTCCAGCCGTTTTCGAGAAAACGTCGATTTACGGCAAAAAATCTGTTCACATACACGTACACACACATACTTTTTTCAAATTTGGTCTCATTCGATTCAGAATGGCTTGAAACGTCGAGAAAACATAAAATTAGCATTTCGTATTTTTTGATAAAAACATAAACTTCTCCTTCGGGAAGTTAAAAAAAAAGTTGAAAATTGAAAAACCTGGTAGCTGATGAAGTGGGGCGTCTCAAACAATTGGCACGTCAGCCTTGCCATGATTTCAGCCCTTCTAGCCATCCGAAATAAAAGAAATAAAAAGATTATTAATCTACAATGATGTCGCAATCGCCCGAACTAGCGATGAGTACAAATTGGCGACTGTTTGAAAAAAAAAGTGTTTTTTTACTGTTTTTTTGAGTTTCTCGAATTTTTTAAAAATAGTAAAAATTTGAATTTGGGGATGATGCTATTTTGGGCTACAGATAGGTCTATAAACAAGACTCTCTGAACATTTTAAGTGAATCGGTCGAGTAGAACTCGAGAAATCGTGGCAACAGGACTGAAAAAGTCTGTTCTGAGAAATTTTGAAATTGTACACTAGAATACCCCCTTTAAAAAAATCTATTACCACCGGCCCCTAGCTCTCCTGCATATTAGGTTAAGTTCTTCGTTTTGTGTTAACGTTCTTCGTACGTTGTGCTTTATTCGTCGCTCCATCTAGAGTAGTGTCGCAAGAGCGAATCGCCGACCGTCGGCAAAGCAGGCAGCCGGCTCAGTCTTCGCCATCGTCCGCTGCGCAGTGTTACATGTTGAGGCAACGAGGTATCAGTGTGATGAGTTTTGTTGCTGTGACAGCGGTTTGTGGCAGGGCAACGCGCCGAAGAATATTGTGTTAAATTGTGTTGAAAGTCAGTGAATTTAATTGACATTCTATCCGACCGATATTGTGTGTGTTTCTACCATAAATCTCGAGTATTTTCTAATTCATGTGCCGTCGTTAAAGACGCTGAGAAAATACCACAAAGGTATGTAGATGTTTATTCTTGCCGCACATTGGAATAATTTTATTTATCATGTGTGACTCGGTGTTTGTGATAAGTTCAGTTCAAATATGTGTTAAATTAGGAGTGCCCTTGTGTATACAGCGAATCGATTCCAATTGCGAAAATATAATGTTATTTGACCTAACCCACTTGACCGACTTCTTTTAGTGCATGCTATAAAGTAATGTTCGTGTTTGTTTTGCATGCTTACATTGAGTTTCTAAAATAAATTTTATTTGCATGCAAAAAATCATACACAGAACTCGAACCGAATTTAACATTGCGAGGTTCAAATGTGTATATCATTTGCACGTTGTTTACTATTTATTAATAGAAATGATTGAATCTGCTTCACGTCGTGCAAAGTTCGATGTGTTCACTATTTATTTAAACATGAAATCTTCACTATCGTTGCGAATCATCTGACTAGCCGATTGTTTCAAAACAATGCTTTCTGATTGCATGTTTATCTTGTTCGCTGGCAGAAGAGACATCAATTTACCATACCACATGTAAAATATTACATTTTGTTCATATAACAATACTAATATAAATATGTAAATATTCCTACTGTTCTAGTGAATGTATTTCAAGCCACTATATCAAAATTAGCTTTATTTATACCATAGGGCACTATGATATGCACAGGCATTTTCCCTAAATTTGAGGTTAACTTAACGCAATACCTTGTCTTAGAGCAGGGCCTATGGGGAAGCCAGAGGCTGTTGTGACAGTTATTTTTAATTAATATATCTTGAAATCCACTGATTATATTTCTACGAAATAACGATGAGTAGATGCTATAACTATTCCTCTACCAAATCCAATAAAAAACTAGTGGGGTGCATGGCATCGTGCCTTAAGGCAAATTGCTGGAACTTCCCGTACCGTATACGGATACGAAACCCAAAAAAAATGTACACAAAATGTGTACACATTATTAAAATCTCTATAAAATATCTGATAATTTGATGTACATATGTCCAATAAACATTTTTGACCGTCAAATGACATTTTTTTATCTTATTTTTATTGAGAGTCCATAACCGTTGGGCCTGACTTTCCAAGTTTAATCGGTTCTTTATCTTGTCAATAAAATGTTTTTTGAATTATTAAAATCGGACGTTCCGTTCTCTCAAAAACTAAGTTACCATTTTTGGCACTTTTAGCCCCGTATCTTTCGAACGGTTAGACCTGCCTTCGCCAAAAACTAATCAGCATGTCTCCTTATCAATACGAATCGAATATTTTTTGAATTATTCAAATCGCTTCATTCGTATTCCCGAAATCGTCGACGAAAATTTGTATCCGAACACACACACAACACGCACATACACACACACACACACACACACACACATATATCCAATTTTTCTAAGGTATGCCAAAATGTTCAGAAACCTCCGAAACGTAAAGATACAAAATTTCATTTTCGATTTTTTTGCGATTACTATAACTTGCCCTACGGGAAATTAATAATTCCGTAAATGTTCATTGTTTCACATTTAACCATTTTCGAACAAAAGTACGGTGTCACAACTTAAGAGGCGTTCATTAATCACGTGATCGATTTTTAGTTACGTAAAATTTTAGGAAGTAATTTTTCGAATTCACGAAAATTCTTATTTTTTTTGAAAATTTAGGTAAAAAATAAATACACATGATATCTTTCTAGATTCATCCCACCCCCACGTGATTTTTCGTGATTTTTTGTCAAACCATCCTTCCCTCTAAAAGCCTCACGTGATTAATGGACGCACCCTTACCTCGTCTTTGGGGCTAGTTGTGACATCTACAGAGGCGAGTAGTACCGACAAAATATGACAGTATTTCATATGACACTGATAATTTATTATTTACTTATTTCTAAAAAATTGTCTTGTTTCTAAGTAATTCTTGTCATAAATCATCATAAACTATGATTGATACACATAAAATACATAGTGTCTCCTGTAATATAATTTACATGTGCCCATACTTCACAAACTACACACTGCCCAATAATCTCACTTGAGTTTGTATATAATTGTTGTATGTTTTAATTTTAACTAACCCCAGGTGTAATTTTTTTTACATTAATGAAGATAACTATTTAAACAATTTAGTAATCACAAAATTGCTTATACATTATCAAATATTGATAAATTTGAAGCAAATTAAGATTTTTTTTTTTAATTTTTGATTAATTGGCCTCCGCTTTACAGCATTTTTAGCCACCTACATTATGCATATTATATTTCATCATATTTTATACAATTCTTACATATATATTTCTTATACATTATATGTATACTATCTCTTTTTATATCCTAATCTTCCATTCAATTTTCTTTCTACTGATTTTTTCATTATTCTTCTTGTTTCTCAATATGTTCTTCTCATCTTGCAAAACTTCTTTTTTCCTTCTTACTTCTAATACAATTTTGTTGTATTCTACAAATTAGCAATCCTTAATTTTGGTATTGCTGTAGATAATAATAAATTTTATATTATATGTTAAAATGACGCACCTGCACAGCTCTGTATATTGCGTCAGCCTGTGGCACAATAGCTATGTAAATATTATGCAGGACGGTTTACATGACCAATCGAGAAAAAAAAATCAATATCATTTAATATCCTATTGAAAAACGCTTGTTACTGCTTACCCTGTTACAATAATCCCTAGCTTCCAAGCTCTCTTATTGTCTATTTTCATATAAATTACTTTTACTTTCAAAAGTATGTATAATAACTTAACACTAACGGGACGGCACCGATTTCAAAACAATCTACTGAACCGGCTGTAAACTTGATTTCATTGTGTATCTTATTCAATTTGTTTGATAAAAATGTGTGGTCATTGAAGGACTTGTCATCATGAAGGATTAATTTATTTTTGATCATTTTATAAAGAATGGTGACGTTCAAAACCATTTCCAAAATGCATAGCTGGTTGATTTTGACATGTTTTACAATAAAATGTTGTTTGCCGCCTTTCTCATGGTGCTTTTCTGTCAGAACAGACAATACAATTCCTTTTTCTTTCTCTCGCATTTAGAATATGCCACTGATTAGTTAGTATATTCGTTCATTTTTGTGCTGCCATAATGGTTTGTTTTTTCTATTATCTTGTCTAATTCATTTGTAAAATATAAAGTAAAATAATCTATTGGATGTCTTATATTGTTTGGTATTTGTAGTCGGGGTGTTTGTTGATGTATGTCAAACTCGATTATTGAAGGAGAATCGGCACATTCGCTAATGTCTTTCTGCTCTTCATTTAATTTGTCGAACAAGAACTTTTTGTTGGTTGGATAATATCATCATCACATTCATCACTATCTTCGGTGCGAATAATAATTTCGTAAAATTTGTCTGCATGAATGTCTATTTGAAACTCATCTTCACTACTGCTTAATTCACAAAATTTACCAGTCGTTTTGCCATATTTAAGAGCGCTCGGTCGTTTTAAATATTAAAAAAAGACCATATAGCAAAAAAAAAGGCTAAAAATACTACTAAGATAACTTAAAATTATTACCAAAATACAATACTGTTTATCACTGCTATATGGAATTTATTCAACTTTTCGATGCAAACTGAGTCATTGTTTATAAAATAGCCTGTGCCTCACAGAGTATGTTTGTCCACTGAGGTGGACAGCCGTCCCCAAAGTGTTAAACCTTGATTCTCTTCTTACTTTCCAGTAAGTAATGTTTACAAATGTAAACTGATAATTAATTTATTAAATCAAGACTTGTCTAGATACATTTTATTATAATTTTCAATTTATGTGAAATATGTTTTTTTTTTTTTTTTTCAAAGATATAGCAGAATAGAATAGGATAGGAACAGAATAGTTCCAAGTGGACTTAGAAATACAATTACACATATAATATGGATAAATTACAATATAATATAATTCGTAATGCTCTTAAAGACACAAAATACCATAATACAGAATGTAGCGATTTAATTAAATTACATAAATAAGATAAAATAATAAAAGATATTTGAAAACATATGTAACAACATATGTTTTATCCAAGAAATAACTCTGAAGATAATTAATAAATCAAAATTATAAAACTGAGTAACGTAATGAGTCAGTATAAATGTTATATTTTTTTATTTATTTATTATTATACACAGAACCGTAATTACATTCCATGAGCTGCTATGCTAAGATAAACTAAATATGAATAAATAAAGATAACAACATAAAAATAGTAATAAATAAGAATAATAATAGGTAATAATAATAAATAATTAAATAATATAATAGTACAAAAAATTACATTAAATTAACTATCATATTTTGATGATTTAAATGTCATATTCTCAGAAATAATTTAACTTTTTGACTATGACTATGAATGCAGTGGTCCGCAACCTTCTCGTACGTTTTTGTATCTTTCTAAATGCTTTTTCAAATGATGTTGGTAGGATTTATAATGATGTTTCAGAGTGATTTATCCCAATATCAGATTATGTGTTAGACTGTAAATTATTATATTATTGTTTTGTATATTAGAGCATGTAGACAAAAAAAATTGTTGTTATATTTCAATATATCACTGCACAATATTATCATATTTTGCGATTATCAGATTCTGTAGAGTAGGATTTTTATTGCATATATCTTTTAGCAGCATCTTAATATATATAATAAATATATATTTATTAAATCTTGCCCAAATATTTTTCAAATCCAGTAAAACTAAACATAATTTGGTATGGAGATTACATATCATAATTAAAGTAATATTAATATTATTCTCAGCATTTTTAATATTGTAATAATTATGAATATAATCTAGTATATATGATAGGGCGGGGCACCTACCCTAAAGGTACAATATGACTTTCAGCAATTATATTATGAAAGACAAACCAATTATATTACAACAAATAACACATATCAACCAAACAACTATTTGACTGTGTTCAGCGATTCATCATTGCAGAAATGTTTTTTTTTTTTGTTTTTCAAAAATTTG